TGTCTCTAAAAATTAAATCAAAGTGTTGTTTTTCTGTACTTAAAATTGCAATAAATTGTTTTTTTCCTGTAATGTTATTAAATAAAGTATCTATAATCATCTAATAATTTGTTAAAAAGAAATACTCAATTTGAAGAGTATTGAAGGTTTTTTAGAAAATATTTAATATATGTATTTGTTATTTTTAAACAGTGACAAATTGTGATGCAAAAAGGCCAAAATCTCAGCCTTTCCTGGTTGAAGTCGATTTCTTTGCCTCAGAAAAAAGTCTCTCACTATACACAGAGCTGGCGGGGCAGCAAAGTAAAACTTTGGCTAAACACGGGACATTTCTGGATATCTGGAAGAATTTTTGTTCCATCATTTGAATTTACCATCGGATGGGGATCGGCCATTTCTTATTTATATTCATACATTTTAACTTTAAATTTTAAGTAATATTTAGTTTAAAATAATAAGCTACTTTTTCTTTTTGTTGCGTCGCTACACATAGCTCATATACCATAAAAGGCGACTATGGGAAAAGGCCAGAAATATCTCGTGGCTTCTAATCAAATATTTTCCTCTTCTTTTTTATGGATCTATTTACTGATTTTGGTTATAAGTAATGAAATGACCGGTAGTATGTTATGAATGTGGGCGTGGGCGGAAAAACTGAGTACGATCTCCGCACGCACTAATAAACATAATTCCAAAAAAATTAAAACCCGTTGTAGTAGATTAGGTAGATTGTCACAGAATTATATTTTTTCTGTGACATCGCGAGGAAACCTGCATGTCTCTTCCTTCAAAAAGCGCGTTCTTTGAAACGAAAAGAAACCTGTACCGGGCAGTTGGGCTTCTTTATAATATGGGCTGTTGCATAACTGTATTACAACATTTTTTTATAGGAGAGTGGGCAAACGAGCATGCGGCTCATGCCTACCGCCGCCCATGAAAAATTGCAAATGCGTTGCCGGTCTTTTAGAAAGCAGTAAGCTTTTTTCTTGAAGGTCCCTAAGTCATATCGGTCCGGAAAAATCGCCGGATAATTAATATAATCTTACTGCTAAATAGCCTTGCCAAGAATTCAATCGACGCCATAATAAAATTAGCTTGAAATAACCTCGAAGATGTTGATTTCTAAAACAGCAACGGCTATCAACAAGTATAAATTTGTATGTTATTCGCCGCTTCACATTACTACCTGCACAAAGGCTAAGTTTTATAAAACGGAAATAAACTCTTATTCTAGTTTCAAAAGACACAGAAACTAGTAAGAAGCGGCTAGACTAAAAGCTATTAGTCACTAACTCACTAATGAGTCAACAAATACACGGTATCGCGGCAGCGTACACGTCACCGCTCACCGCACACGTTTTGTTTCCCCACGCACACTAGCGTAAGTACTCGATAAAAACACAAATATAAATTTGTGGTGCAAGTGATAAGATTAAGAGAATTGTTGTTTGTATTTTTAAAATTTACCAAGGCCGTTCCGTGATGGCGGTTTCTTGAGTGAGTGATATGATGTAAAGCAGCAAACATCAGGTCCAATAATATTATATAAACATGTACCTAACTTTTATTATTTGATGCGTCGTGATTGTGGTACAAATCTTCAGTTTTTAGCTGTTTATTTATAATTGTTTACTTTATTTTTACTAATGTGAAATTGGTTGCAGTAGAACATGCCTGCCAGCTAGATATACTAATTGTGTCACATGGCGTAACAGATATGATGGAAACAATATCTTCAAACTGGCAATTAAATAAGTTTTGTACATGCATTAAGAGTATTAGTCCTCTATAAGACGCACAAGAATTTAAAATGGGCGGTTTTATGTAGAAAAGACTTTATAAACCCAGCCATAAAAGCATACATATAATATGATGTTAAATACTAGGGTTGATCAATAAGCACACATTACCTCATCGTCGCCGTCGAATTTTACAGCACGAAAGTGCTTTTTCATGAGTAAAAAGGTGTAAATCACTCGGATCTAAGTCCGGGGAATATGATGTATGTTGCATCAACTGAAACCCAGCAGTTCACAGCGCCTGCAAAATCAGATCGATGGGATTATTATAATGAAAAAACACTCCGGCACGCAATTTTCCTTGACGTTTATTCTTTTTTTCTTCGCGTAGTTTTTTAATTAATGATGGGTAATAATCGAAAGTTATTGTCTCTACTTAAATAATCCATCACTATAATAGCAATAAAAAGTAAGAAGGTAAGTAGACTAAAGACCAAAGAAGACTGCAGTTCTTCAAAAACACTTTTTGTAGAAAATTTTTCAAGCAGAAATATTTAATAACTGCACAAAGTTCGAGTTTCTTCATTTTGCATACGAATCAAATTCCCTCGATATGTAAAATTTGAAGAAAATTGGGTATAGTTTTTAATTTTTTTTTTCTGGCCTTGCCTACTAATGAAATTATAAAAAAATAGAACGCATTTCTATAACTCATTGATAAGTTAACTATTCCGAAAACATATTGAGCAACCTTGTACTAAAGCTTCAGTAAGTCTGCAGGAACGCTGACTACACTTTTATATTAGATTAAATAGAGTACATATTCTCACGAAAGAATACCGATTTCTACCAATGATAATTGAAAGTTATCTGCAATAAAAATAAATACAATATAATTAAATATATTATTAATTATAGTTTACGCGAAGCTTCAGTGGAGCTTAGTTAGCAATGTGTTGAAACAACTAGATTAATTTATTTCTCAATAGCAGAGTATCCTTTGGAATCTTGCTATGGGATAATGCATTGACATTGAAATTAAGTCTTTTGTCTTTGTTTGGCAGAAGAAAGCGATAAGAACAATTAATGAAACTCAGAAATAAAAATTAAAGTAATAAATATAGTTACTTAGGCCATTTGTATTTTTGCGAAAATTTAATGTATGAACGCATTTTCTGAAACATATTCTGAATTCTCATAGATTTTGTAAATACTAGTAACAGACACGATTTACTAGTACCAGTTACTCGACTCCAAAAAGTTAGTAATTCCTTCACTTTCCAACCAAGTCCCAGAAAATATGCACAATCTATATATCATTAAGTTTAAAGTATTAAATAACCCGATTTTTTAAAAAGTGTTATTGTACTACTTAAGTGATGATGATTACATGATTAATAATGACCCTTGGAAATGAGGTGATTTTTTGATTCTAGAATTATCAATATTCACACTACAGTTACATTTTGAAGAATATATCATTTACTCAAACTTGTACGTTTCAAGATTACTTTTTTATATCCTTAAAAATCATTCGTAAATAATCATCATTCCTAGATTATCACAGGAAACTGAAGATTGGTAACAACATCTTCCTGATAATAACTAAAATTAATAAAAAACTGTGGTGGCCGACCTGTCTGTCTGTGTGGAAACTATCGTCAATATAATCCCAATAAAGCAATCCAGGGAGGGGGATACGTTCAGCAGCGAATTTTTGATATACTGTAATAAATGAATAATGAAAGATTGTTTATATTACATAAAGGACTCACAAGGGAAGTAAGTAAGGTTGAAAAAAACATGGAGATATTAAATATTGACTCCTGTTGAGGACTCACAGGTTCATTGGGTTAGCTAGTATATCTTCTACAAGTGAGTCATTTACGAAAACTACGTAATTTTCTTCCCACTACCATTACAGACGCCCTTTTCTAGTCTTTACTCTAACAGTCCACGACTACCTAACATTTGCCAAAATTAGATTACCAAAGAAAATCTTAATAAGTTGTCATATCCCTCCATTCCCTTTTAACATAAAAACATTTTCAGTGTATTTACGTTTCCTATCATTGATTCATTCGTGATGAGGTTAATCTATAGGCTGTATAAATATTTCTCGCGTGTCCCTTGTAGCTTGCGCCGATCGATCACTCACTGTTCGCGTGATACGGTGCCTCACTTTCACGGCGAGATGTACCGCCCTCACTACGTATGATACGAACACGTAACGGTTTCACTGCCGTTTCTTGATTTTAGGCAATCCTAGATTTCAGAACTAATATAATATTATGATACCAATTCAAAATGTAAACAACCCACTGTCCTTTACCTCTGATACTAATTACCCTTAAATGAGTGCTTATTATTCTTTCAGTGAAGTTCATGTTTAACTCTGCAAATGGTACAGAATATTAAGGCTGCAATAGTATTAATAAAACATTTAATCATTGCAGTAAAATGTACTTACTTACTAGCTCTGTCTAGAAGGTTTAAGAATTTTGTGCTTCAAGACGTTATTTAATTATATTATAATATCTGCAGTGCATATAGTAATATTTTAACAACTAAAATACTATCTGTTACTACTCGAATTGCGGCTAGTGGTTTATTCGTGTTTATAAGTAGATATTTGTTAATATTTAAATAATGCATGTTTATCGTTTTATAATTAGAAGTTATAACAAATGTTTAATTTCACTCTAGTAATTTTTGTAAATGCCTTTTTGTGTATTGCACATTTCTGTTTCGAGATTTTTTTAGTAACACTACAAAATAACGATATAATATGTTTATATGTATAATGTTTCTATTCTGACCGTACGGGGCAACTAACATTAAATATTTTATGTAACCAATCGTGTGAAAATACTTATAATTTTTGCATCTCTTGTGTTATATTTACGTTTCTTAATACCTAACAGTTTTATAAAGCTCATATCTAACACATTTTCAAGAGTTGTTTATATGTGTATATTCGCTTAGAACTTAAACACAACACTTATTGATAAGCTGTTTGAGTGTGTGTTTTAACAATATTTAAAATATATTCACTTGCAAACATTACAGCGTGATAATAATATCTTTTATCTAGAATATGCATCTACCAGATACAAGTCTCGAGAGCTGTGGCCAAGGTGAGATCGAGTAATGCGATCTACAGGCTCCACGTTAACTTCAAGTATTTGATGACTATTTGGCTACGAGGGTCGATGACACCTGTCGAAATTGCAGGCTGACCGGTGCAGTCGAATTGGCGTGTCACCGCGCTAGGCGAGGCGACCTTGCCGCGCGCCCCGACGTCATGCGGGGGCGCGCCGGTGACGTCACGCTGCGACCTCGCCCGTCACACCGTGTGCACGTGAACGACACGCGCCGGCACGCGCCGAGTGCGTGATCGCTTCGCCACCATTGGACGCCATCTTGCCGCGCCGTCTCACCGTTTGCTGCCATTGGACGCGTTCCGCCCGCGCCCCGTAAAGTCCCCGCGACCGCCATTGCCTCGTACCGCAAACGCTCCCCAAACGGTTTATTCGTCTGCCACTCGCCGACGAAGTTACACGGGTCGAAGTGAACTGTCAACTCTCACTGCACGACAAGTTTTTCTCAATTGAAAAGAAAGTTTTTTTTCCATTTAATGATATAGTTGCAAATAATATGTCTCCACTTCTAGAAGTCTGTGGTCCCCTTTCGCCGCCGTCAACGCCTCCGTTGATGGATATCAAAGTGAGTGTTTTCGAGTAGAATTTACTAAAATAAAAAATAACATAATCGAAATAAAAATAACATAATTTAAATAAAAAGAAAATAATTAAAATAAACTTCTATTATAATAATTTAAAAAAAAATGTTTTCGTTTTATTTTGCACAACCACAATTTTGTTGCGGGCGCGATCACGCACCTCGCGCGTGGTTTAACCGCTCAAGCGACCATTCACTTACGTTTTTCTCTCTTTGTCTCACAGGTAGAGCTACCGTTGAAGAAGGCCGCTGTGAAGCGGGCGCGCGAGCAACCTCCAGCTGGTGTGGTGACGCCACAGCCCTCGGACTCTGAGGGCGAGGATGAGTGCAGCAAACGCTCTCGCTGTGAGCTGGCGCGGCTGCTGCTCACCACGCCGCCACCGGAGCCGTGCGGTCGTCCGTCCGTCATAATGCGCGCGCATAAAGACGGCACCTGCAGCCCCGAGCCACTGCCGCCGCCTCCGTCGAACGACATGAATATTCTGAAGACGCTGAAATTCAAAATGAACCGTGGCCACAGTTACTCCCAAGTGAAGTACATTGCTAGTCAAGCTCAGACGCCGCCCGCCCCGGTGGCGCCGACTCCTCCGCCTAAGGCTGAAGAGCCGCGTGTTCCGTCGCCGCACCCGGAGTGCGGGCCGAAGGAAGAGACGCGTATGCCAGCACCCACGGCCGCGGCCACGCCCGGCTGGGTGCCGCTGGCGCCACGCCCGACACCCGCCGTACTAGTTCCTAGCTCCTTATTACCTACGACAGCGTTATGGCTGGTCGCCCCAGCACCGGCCGCGAGACGCCGCCTCTACGAGTGCTCGTACCCTGGTTGCGGAAAAAATTACTTCAAATCCTCCCACCTCAAAGCGCACGCTCGAACACACACGGGCGAACGTCCGTTCAGGTGCGCGTGGCCCGGCTGCGAGCGAAGGTTCTCACGTTCCGACGAGCTCTCCCGACATAAAAGAACTCACACCGGTGAGAAGAAGTTCGGCTGCCGCGTCTGCAACCGCCGCTTCATGCGCTCCGACCATCTCGCCAAGCACGTCAAAAGACACGCAAAAGAACGGGTGCCGCCGGCGCCTGTACTAAAGCTTCTTCCATCCCCGCCATTGGCCATCCCCGTTCCCGTACAACCCACTGTTGCCCCGACCCAATAATCCGGGACGCAACAAGACTGTGATCTAGATCTCATGATCGTTACCTAGTTTTTAGTACACATTTAAGACTGTCCTATCTTGACTACTTAAGTAGTTGTTAGCTTTAAGCAAATATGTTACAGTAAAGGTGATGTTAAGATATAAAAGAATATAAATAGTTATTGATTTATACAAGCTTGTCGTTTCTTTTTTAAACTCACTATCATTAACACTGCACTACACTCTAGAGGTTTACAATGCACCGCGCAGATTCCTGTTTAAATATTGGTCTTTTGAACGGTTACTGGCTGCCGAGGTGACGCTGGTTCCGAGCGTCGGAAGGCCGGTGGACGACTGTTCGCGGCGGAGGCGACGACGTCCGCCACGCGACGCGCCACTGCACTGATAACGAACACGTAGTGGCGGCTTCAGTTATCTTTCGACATACAAAAATAAATATCATTTTGCAAAAAAATTTACTATCGTAAAACTTCTATATTTAAAAGTAATGGTAAATTAGCCAGTAAATAAGTATTAAACAGACTTTAAAAGATTTTTAGAAAAATAAAATAATTGAATTACACATAATTAAATTCCGTGGTAAGAATTTAATAGTCATTCACGTTCTACCAAATTCCTTATCTTGTTCATAGGTATATAATTTATATACAAAAATCGAAAAAACAACACAATTTAATATTATGCTAACAAGCTTAATGGTTAAAACCACATAAGACCTAAATTAGGTGTTCTGTGGTTAAAACAGTAGTTAATTAGTTAAATAAAACCAATTGCGTTAAAACGTTTACTGATTTGGACGTGGTAGAGCCACGCTGCAGCTATATTATGGTTGTAGCACGAATGGGTCGGCTCGACCGGGGAAGGACCACGCTCTCACAGAATACCCGCGTAAAATAATAGCTTAATGCTGCTGTGTTTCGTATAGTGAGTGTCCCTTTTTACTGCAAACGAGGCATTCCATCTTACTTCTCACGGGTGACAACACATTTGCATTTTGATTCGTAATCGAGAATAGATCCACTTACCATCAGGTGGGATGTGTGCTCGTTTGTCACCCTATGATATAAAAAAAAAACTGAAAAAAGCTTCCCCTCTGTTTTTGTACATGCGGATGCAATATTTATAAATATTATATAACCTATGTCGACGAATATAGCGATACCTCATATGTCAAAAACCATCAAGCTGTTCAGGCTACAGAACGTGGCAAAGAAATAAACATACTTTAATACATACGTTAAAAAAACATTACCCTGATTTTGGGACAGTCGGGTAAAAACAAGGGATCTTGAAACAAGACAAGTCATAATGATTTCCACAATTTCTTAACATTATAGACTACCATAAATCTGTCAACGACATGGTCAAAGTACATATTACAGTAAACAGGTATTGTTACCTATGTTATTATTACATTACGATCAATTCCATTCCATACCAATAGACTTAGAATCTAAATGACGCAACTCTGAGTAATACCACAGTATTGTCTTTATTATACTGTGGTAATACATTCCAGTTACTTACATAATATAATTATTTTTTTAAATTCATACCTCGTTTATTTACTTCAGTCTGTGCAACAGGCTCAATAAAAACTACTAAAAAGCTAAAAACAACCAAAGTACCATTAATTTTAATAGAAAAAATATTCTACAGAAATACATATTATAAAAGAGCAAAAACAATATTGACAAAGAGAATCCGGTTATCGCTGGCTATGCGGTAAGCGGAATGTGTGCATTATTGTTTGAATAATAATAGTTTGACACAAGTACTCTTGCGGAGGGAGGTACCTATAAACTCATATCATTTTTTTTACGTTTCAGTGTCTTGATATACTATTGTCACTTCGAGAATAAGAGAAGCAGTATGATGTATTCAACATATGACTTCAGTAATATTTTACGAAAAAAAAATATAATTTATTATATAATTATTAAAATAAATATTATAATTTTTTTATATAAGTAATAACAAAAAATATTTTTTTTGTATTAATTATAATTATTTGATTCCATAAATAAAGTAAACACAATATGCATTATTCCATTTCATTGCCTGGGCACCGTAAGAGTTAACATAAAAATGTTAAAGTAGGCATAGAAAATCTGTTTCAATATCATCCTAATTAAATATCTAGCTGACGAATCGGATTACTATTGCGAGACATCTGTTGCTGCTATCTATGTACTATTCACCTGCAAATTGTGGCGTGTATTACAGAAGTACGTTGCCTATGCCTTCCAAATTACGAGCAAGAACGATCTAAATCCAGCTGTTGACCGTTTAGAATCAATGGTTTAGAGCCTTTTGAAATCCTTCAAAACATTTGGGAAACTTGTGTAGACGGTGGGAAATACTTCATTTGTATGATTGGATATTAAAACAGCAAATAGCTTTCTAAATGCGTATACATAATAACTAATAATTGCTATATTTTAAAAAAAATTACAGTATCACAGATATTTATATAGAAACTCCGAAAACTTTTTATATATAAACTATTTCATCATGTCGATAGGTAGGTAACCACGAGAATTGAGTTGAGCGCATGATACTCGTATTCTATCAAGACGTACCTACCTAGTATAATATTAATCAGTTAATCACTGACGGGCCACGACGCGCGCACGTATTCGTGCTGTGATCGTGACGTCGCACCTGGCCAAATTATACTTTCTCTGATAACAACAATCTTTCGTAAAGCCCGCTGAAGTAATAGATAACGACTCATAATGTTAGATAAAACAGCACCACAACAATTAAAGTCAGGTTGAAACTCAGTACATTGACATTAGCGCTTTGATATTTGTATCTATAATTCCGATATAGTTCATAAGTACCTATATCCGGGATATATCATGAGAAGTATGTAACCAGTCTGTAACGATATTCACAAGCACATACCTATGATTTATAAAAACGGTGGTCAAACTGCTCTAGATGGGCTAGCAATCTTAAAATACTATTTATTATGTGTTTACGACGTTTTTCTTAAAATTCCAACAAGAACAGAAAATCTATGGTTTCTAGTGAACTTAACACATTAAAAGAAATGTCCAACTCTTTACCACGACTAGGCCAAACATATAATTACATAGTCACATGTAACTGTGTATACTTAAATTTGAAAAAGTAGATAACACGGGTAAATACCTACGTCTATTATAATAGTATGCTGGTAATAATGGTCCTATCACATAGCCGGGGACAAGGAAGAGTCCACTGCTCTAAAGCGTGGTGACAGACTTCACACGTGTTCCATGTTTTGTTTTTTATTTTCCTTAAAAATACGCGGGTTTCCTTACTATGTTTTGTTTCACCATCGCGTGTGTGATAGATCAATACATTAAATTACATTTAGCAATTTCATCGCCGACAGGAATCGAACTTTTATCAATAATGTTTAGCCACTAAATTGCCGCTGATCGTGCTTAAGCTAAATAAATCAAATGCTTTATATTTAATAACCTTTTATAGGTGGTAGAGCCACGTTGCATCGTTACAGCCACAGAAATCGTAATATTAACACAATATTATTACTATTTCTGTGGTTACAGCACAATAGATTCTGGGCCTTGGAAGGACTTGCTTTAACAGAAT